GAAAATTTATACGCAGCGGAAATTACAAGCGTTTCGTAAGCATTTCGAGATAGCGACGTTCGGCGTTTCGCGATCGGTGTTACGTGGCGGCAGGTCCATTCCGCGGCGCGTAGAAGCTTTATTACGACTAGCCGGCAAAAGCCTGCTCGAGACGGGCAACGGCTGCACCTCTGCTGCGTCGCAACAGAAAACTGAAAAGGAAAATTTACCGAGCCTAATGCTAGCCGGTAAAAGCAGGATCTAGGCGGGAAACATCTGCACATCCACACTTTATCGCACTTGGTCGGCAGGATTATAGAAGGATTCGTGCACACGAGCCAGCAAGGAGATAGGGTCGAGGCGGAAAACAAATTCCTTACCGACGTCGGTGCCAGAGAAATCGAAGCCGGAGCTGATTGCTGGTAATTGCCAGGCAAGGGCCGAAAACCAGATCTTAAATTTCTCGTCGACTACGGCGGATCGGAAGAGTCAGCGTCAAATCCGGAATTGTCCGGAGTTGGCCTTCAGGAAGATCTGTCGCCGAGACTGAGCGTCGCTCTTTATACTCCGATACGAATCGGGATTTTTTAGTGTATACACAACGTCGTGATATTAATTGTATAATTAATTGTTAATAAGGCACTAGGAAAAACCGTCAAAAGCAAAAGACGCAATCCGTACATGTGCGTATCCCGCGTCGCTTGTGCGCATACGCGTGGTACGTTGACGACCCGACGTGCGCGAATTCACACTTGAACGGGATGAGCGATATGGACGTCCGCAGGGGACAAAGAGGGGCATTTGTCCCCCCTGAAATCATACGAATATAAGAAAATTCTCAGAATATCAGAATTTGCTCTCTTACTTTTACAAATAATAAATATATTTGTCAAATGTGAGAGAGCTAAAATGCAACACAGATACACAACGTTTGGACATTTGCTCCTCGTGATAGTTCGTATTAAAAATTTGGATCACGCCCTCCTCTAGAAAAAATCCTGCGAACGCCCTTGATGAGCGATGAGCGATATCTAATGAAAGTTTTGCTTTTTTGGACGTTACATTAGAAAACAGAGTTCTCATTGGATATCACTTGTCCCTTATCGCGTTCAGTGTGAAATAGTACGAACACATGTTGCGCGGCGTGTTTTTAACAATAGATTAAAAAAATGGAGCGCTACTAGAGTTCCTTGCCACGACGGATGGCGATGCGTCGGAGTCGCGGAGGCTAGAATCGGCGGAACGGGAACTTTCTCAGAGGGGCCTTATTGTTACAGGATAATCATATTTCTGGAGGAAGAATAAACCCCTTATGCGGAATTATTTAAAACAAAAATTATGGAAAAGTTATTTAAAATTATGATTTTTCTCTTTATAAGAAGCCATAGATTTTTAAAACATTAAAAAATTTTTGAAATGCAAAATGAAAACTACGTCCTGTACTGAATAAAGTATTATTCTTCTTAATACGCACAAGGACATATCGTGTTCGAGAATTAAACAGAAAACTAAAAAATGCATATAAAAGAAAAAAAGCTAAAAAAATGAGAAAATTTACCAATATTAAAGAATAAATATGTACTATATACTATTTTAATATATTTTGTAATTCATTGTCATTTTGTAATTGTATGTAATATTAATAATACACTTTTTAAAACCGATTTTTTTCTTTAACATTTAATTTATTTCTCAATCTTTCCAGCGTTTAACATATAGTTAAATCTGACATGCATAAAAATGATAAAAAATCAATTTTTATTATTGCATAAGATAAAATAAGATTTGTTTTATTATTGTAAACATATATCTTTCAATGTCGATGATGTTGCAATAATGCAGCATGCATATTTACCAAAAACTATGCTACTTCTGGATAATGTAATTATACTTGCATTGAATGTATAATACGTTTGCTTGATTATGTCAGCGGGCTTTTCTCAATTTCGATGTTCGTTGTTGTTTGATATACTTCAAGTAAATGGTACACAATGTTGATGACCTTTACATATACAGATATAAAAAAAAAATAAACCGGAGTGATAGGGTGAATGAGAACGTTCGTCCAAACTTGGCGCTATCTTTAGTTGACAATCATCATTGCTGTTTTACAATTATATAATGGTGTTGGTGTCACAAACACTTTTGGACAATGTGTGATGCTTAATCAAATGGCATTATGAATGTCATGAATTTTTATGCACGCCTTAAGCAGATTGATCAGATTTATTAACTTTTTTATTCTGTACAATAAAATGTACTGCAAGCCGAATGTTTGGAAATGCAGATAAATTATATAACACACAAATCTGTGAAACAATCGATAAAAACACAGATAGATTATAATTTTGGTGTTATGAAATAATTATTGGATCAAAAGAATTATTGTTAAAAAAATATATATAATACATTATGGATATTTGAATAATCCTAAAAATGACAATTATTAAAAGTGTTTCCAAACTTTAGCCTGTACTGTATGTGTACGTATATTCTAAATTGAAAATATTATATATTTATATATTGATATTATATATTATATATTTTTCATACGTTTTTTTATATCATAAATGGGCTGTAACACAATCGGCTTGTCCTCAGCTTCTAAGAAAACTTGGAAACATAATCTCATCGCGTTGAGATCTATATTTGAGTCGAGTGTCTCCTGTGTTTGAAATCAGCTGCAACAATTCAGATTTTCTCATAACTATGGTTTATCTAAATTGATAAAGAAATAAATACGAAAAAAAAACCTGTACATACTTCGAAAGGGATCCACTCGTAACTCCTGACGCACTCTGAGAGCCTCTTTGATGTCCTTCTTTTTCACACACTGAATGCCCGGATTCAAGAAGGTAACAACCATATTTCCCGACGGAATCCCTACCGTACAAATACCTCTGAACATCTACCGACGAGATTGTATGGATGAGGTCTGTACGGGGCGTCCTTTGTTACGCAGGACACAACCACCATAGTGCGACCCTGGTAGCCCACGATCTGCAGGAATATTATAACAATATATAGAATCAAGAAGAGGAGGGAAAGGCTCACTAAACAACTTATTCGTATACTAGGGAAAGTTTTATTTTCCGGTGTACTGTTGATACCAGATATGCCGTTGATTGATTTGCCTTCCTGTTTATAGCAAAACCGTCGCGCTTTACTGGCCGGCTGCTCTAAAATCTCAACGTAGGGCTGCTGAATATGCTCGTTATCCATTGATAGATTCAGGATTGGTGGTTTAAATGACGTCATGACTAAAAGTAGTGTTCGTTGGATAAGCTATGGGAAACTACACTACAATATACAATACCAACAATGTGTGGTCAAGATATGAACGGTCAAACGGTTCTGATTTTAATAAAACTTTGTATACATAGATTACGTAAATGGGTAAATTTAGAAAACGTTAGTTGTGTGTTTGCTGTTCAAAAACGGGTTGAAATCATCTCTCATGTAAAGTAGCTTTCAGCCTTTTTCGTTATATATATTTTATAAATTATTCATATCAGAAAATTTTTATACAAAAGTTTTACAATAAAATGACCTCTATTCATCCAAATCAATAATATTTCTGGAAAATAATTATTAAAAAAAAATTATTTTTTATTCAAATTCTAAACGTTTAAAATAATTTAATATGACTGCAATTAAATTTGTAAAATTTAATTTTACAAATTTTTCAAATTTTGTCGACCATTGAATCAGTAATTTTAAATTTTTTAAATTTGAATTTAAATTCGTGTTTAGCAACTCCAAAAATGTGTCATATTTTGTGGAAATTTGTCTTTTAGAATTAAATGTGTCACTGAATGGATTCGTTAGATTAAGTAAGATTTTAGCGAGATTAGGTACAACCTTAAAACTACTCTTTTTCGAGACAAGAAACAAATTCCTCACCTCTGTCGATGCCAGAGAAATAGAAGCCGAAGCTGACTGCCAGTAATTATCAGGCAGGAGCCGGAAACGTCCATACCTCGAGTTTCTCGTTGGGGCTACGATAGATTTAAAGAGAACGTCAGATCGGAGTCGTTCGGAGTTAGTTCTGAAAAAGATCTGCTTCCGAGGCCGAACAACGTCGCTTTTTATACTCCGATTTTATAAGATTTCTATACGAAAACAAAGTAGCGCATGCGAAGCCAGCCAGCGGTCCAATATCGGCGCCAGTAATCGTCAATAGTCGGCAGTAATCGTGCCGCGACGAGGCTTTGAAGTTTTACGTCAAAGTTCTTATCTTCCCAGTTTCTTGCCGACGTATCTTGAGCATATTGTGTACTTTAGTATAGAGTAAACCCGGGTATATACGCCGCACGAGGATTTACGCCGCAGAAGTCAGAAAAAATAGAAGACGTAAAACTAATTTTCTCGCAACCACTCTGTTACATGCCTTTATGTTATATTAGTATTGTGTTGTGATTTCAGTTTTTTACTGTTATTATTTATAAAATTATTGTAAGTTAAATCGATTTATTTAATTTATTTTGCTCAGTATTATTGTAAAATCATTCTTAATCGGATAAAACTGTTACTTACGTATGAATTACGGGACTTTTGCCAATTTTACGCGTTAAATGTAGGTGACCCAGCAGTCAAAGTGTCAAATTCTAATATTTTGTTTGATTTTTGATATAAATATTTTGCTTATAATAATTATATAAAATTTTTAACAAATAAATATCACACAAATATTTTTATTAAAATTTTTTGTATACATTAAATTATTATATCATTTATCAAATAATTTTTAACTTCTCCTTTTGTTTACGTTATTATCTAAATTGTATTACGGAAATTACATATGTTTAAAATAAGATGTCTCAAAACTGGACAATCATAGATGTCTTTTCTGGCAGTTCGCCAATATAAACGTCTTTATCAAAAATTCTAGAATCACACCTTGTGCTCACGTCAGCATCAGCTCAGTCATTTGTTCCCAGGAACATATTCGTATTTCGTCCCCATGACGAGAGCCACGCACAAACAATCAACAATCTCGATCGCATTCGAGGACAGTCTTAATGCGCAAGCTGCAAACGAACATGCCAGAAACGACTACCCTGTCGAAACGGAACCTGGGTCCGCGACCCGCCGCCGTCACCAGGGTGGAGACCAAGCTGCCCCGATGCGTGCAACGTAGATTACCGTGCGTCCCCGCGTCCGTAAGATGCCATCCGCGATCAAGTCCGTACCGATGCACCGATCATCGCGTACCCAGACGACCGTACAGACTGGCGGTCGGGTTGTCGGTGGCTAGGCCCGGTCACGGCGTCCCGACGACGATTCCCAAGAGCTCCGACCGATGTCCGCCCGGCTTCCTGGCCATTGGCACTCCTCGCTGCAAGAAGAGTCTGTCGATGATGGACTTGACCCTGCCCGTCGTCAATCCTGACATCGGCGATCTCAAGTGAGCCAAGATTTTTATAGGCTTCTCGACGACAAATATTGCAATATTGCAATATTAACTATATCTCGCAATGTGTTCTTTTTCTGACGAAAAAATATCATCAAATAAATTTAACTTCTCTAAACTATACTATTCGATCTACTCGATCAAAATGGGATGTATTCCTATTTTTCTCAGAATGAATAAATGGCAGAATATTTTTACATAAAATTTTGTTAACGAATTTATAAAATCTATGTAAATTTTAAAACTTTAATATCTTTCGATTTATGTATAATATGAAAGAGAGAGAATTTATAAAATTTGTATGAAATTTAAAAATTTTAATGATTACTTTAGATTTTTTTATGTTTGACAGAAGAATACATATTATTTCGTGAATGTTGAGGAAAGATTGAGTACGATCAAAATAAAAGTGCCCTAATAGAGCATATCGTTCAGATCAGAGAGCGAGTCTTCCGCCAGTCGTTTCGACGAAATCGCCGACAGGGGCAAGGACATCTTGGCGAACGGCGGGAGCGCCTACTGCAGCGGCAGGTCCTGGACGGACCGTACGCCGTCCTCGGAGTCCGAGCAGGGCGAAGCCGCCGGTCTGACGGAGGATCCGACGATCAAGGCGGCGAACGTGGTGTGCCGCATGCTGGTACTGAACGCGTGGCGACGCAGACGCGCCGAGATTGCGCAGCTGGAGCAACAGGTGGAACACCTGCACCTGCAGATCGAGTTCCTGCGCCGATTGCTGCTCGCCGAGAACGACCGGGTCGGCAGACTGAACGGCGAGCTGCATCGCGAGAAGTCGCAGCTCGAGGAGACGACGCGTGAACGCGACGCCGTCAAATCGGTACGGCGGTCGATCGATTATTTCTCGAGCCGTATTTTGCATCATTTTGCATGCTTTCGACTTGTTTCGGTTGCTCTTGTCTAATTTTGATTCATTAACATCCGAGTCTTCAAAAAAACAAAAAAAAAAAACAAAAAAAAACGGAAATGAAAACGAAAATGAATTGAAAAAGAATTCATTAAATGGAACTCGTTAAATATACGTTATCGCGATGGAGGAAAATCCTACCGGTTCTTCGAAGCAACAGCGATGACGATGCATACGCATCTTACGCTTCTAGTGCGTCATTCTCGTATATACGGGAGTTCAGTGACATGTTTCTAATTACGGGGATGATGTTACCACGAGAATGCGCGACACGTGTTCCGACGACACGCGACAGGCCGCTTTGGCGGAAGAATATATGCATTCCGCGCATGCTATAAGCTGCTCCGATTAGCGATATGATATATTTATATTTATATTTAGTGAATTCCGCGCATGCTATAAGTTGTCCGATTAATGATATGATATATTTACACTGAGAAAAAAATTTGTTCAAAAATGCAAAATTTGTTTTATTTTACCAAAATATTTAGTATGATACGTTCGATTAAATGTTACTACAATGACACAAAATAATTTGTTACTGTTATAAACAAAATACTATTTTTTAACTAAATTATTTTAACAAAAATTTATCGTATTCGACTCAACTGTTCTATTAAAAATACACACTATTTATTATCCCCATCAGCATTGTTTAGTCAATTCGATACTTGGAATTTAAACAAATATATTACTTGGATAACTAAATAGCATGCAAATATAAATAAATACTACTAGTATTTCGAACAAAATAATTTAATTGAGTTGGTTTAGTTAATTCTTAATTAAAATTTTTTGATAGTTGAAATGAATAAACTATACTTTTCTTTGTGCAACTAAAAAATTGTTGAATTAACTATTGGATCAAATAATTATACAAATTTAGTTCGTACAATCAATTTTTTTTCTCAGTGTATATAGATCGTATTGAAACAGAGAGAAAATATGCTACTTGGCATCTCAATAATATGATTTCATATTTACAATTTTACCCATGAAGCAACGTTTATTCCATATTATCCGATGAAATAAGATCTAAAATTTTGTAGTTTCACGTTAAGCGAGGTTTTCAATTTTGTACAATCTATCGGTTTTCCACAAGAAAGTTAAATTTTTCGCGAAAAGATGAATTCCATAAGATATGTAATGGGATTCGAACCTTATTTAATTTCAATCGCCGTATTTTTTTATTGCCCATTATGTGTTCCGAAAAGAGCTGTTAAATCAAAAAGATTTAATACAACTAGATAATATATTATGTATCATACATATCATTTTATTAGATATTTTTAAATTTATAAATTTTGTTAACAGATTTGTAAAATCTAATCTTGTAAATCCGTTAACAAAATTCATAAATTTTAAAACTTTAATAACTTTAGATTTATGTATATAAAAAGTGAGAGGATTTATAAAATCTATGTGAACTTTAAAATTTTAATAACTTTAGATTATTATATTTATAAATCTCGTTCCTCTAGTCGGATACTCGCAGTCGCAAATTGTTTTTGCTCTGTTGCAGGAAAAAGAAAAACTGGAGATTGAACTGAAGCATGCCGAGGAAGTCTCCCAGGAGCGATTAGTCACCGTGGGAAACTTGAAGAACGAGCTTTTAACTGCACAGGATCAGCTGAAGGCGCTCGACGCGCAGATGGCGAAGGATCGAGAGAAACTCTTGAAATTACGAGAAGATAAGAGGATTCTTCTGGATAAAGTTGCGTTTCCTCTTTCGATTCGAAAATTCGTCGCCTAGGCGATATTCCTCGTTAAACTCTTTTTTTTTAAATTTGAGATTCATCGTTTAATTTTGAGTCGAGTTTTCAAATTGCAAAAATATCTCGAGAGGAAAGTCGTAATTTATCGCAATTTCTCGATTCTCTCTTTGTCAATAATTTCTGTCCTCGCTTGAGCAACATCCAATGAATCGTTCAGCGAATCCGCGATTCCTGACTGCACGCGAACGGCCGCGTAAGCGCTCGCCAACCGCGCGACGGTGATAAAAAATTGATCTGCTGTTCGGTGAGTCATTGTTACCCTCGTCCGAGACACGAGGTTGCGACCCCCTTCTCCTCTTTCTCGGGGGGTGGGTGGCCGTCCCACGCGCGGTCTCCGCGCGAACTCCTTTCGCGTTCCGCGAATTCAACTGACTCACTCCGTTTCCTTCTCCTTCACCCTTTCCCTACGGAGATTAGGCATCTCCGCGTGTCATGTATAGCATCGATTTGTCGCATAATTATTGAAAACAGGGCAAGGTGAATGTCTGTTGAATCGATACTCTGCGAAATCTTAATAATATTTATCTGTATGGATTTCCTTTTTCGATGGTTAAATCATCGTCCTTAAATAAGGATATGAGGATGTATTTCTCAACTAGCAAAATGTTTCAAAGTTATTTAAAAGGACGCAAGAATATCTCGATCGATGTAATAATGTGCTGCCGAATCGTTTAACCTAGGCCACTAAAGCGTGTGTCATCCGCGCGACATTCACCACTTTTTTAAAGATCTCGGAATTCACCCGCGAGGCAACGTCAGTCAGGTCAATGCACGGCGAAAGAAATATAGCTCGCGGATGAGTCACACCTTTAGCGTTTCGCCGGTGACTCAATATCACGTAATACTCCTTCCGTTCCAGGAAGAAGGATCAATACCACTTGCCCTATTAACTTTTATCCACTGCGGAATCGCGGGATATCGCGGAAATTTTGCAATCGGCACGAATACATTGTAGATATTTACACGTGTACAGACTAATCTGAATCGTGGCTGCTCTTAAACGTGATGACAACGCGAAGGGTGTCTAGTAAAGCGGTTCTACGAGAAGTCTTGGCCGAGAAATCGCGTCTCAGAATTATCTCATATATTTTTGATAATAAAAACAGCTGAAATCGATCAAGCAATTTGCAAATAAAGCATCGAAAATGCAGCATTTTTTTTTTGAAAATTTGAGAAATATCGATCCGCGCATAAGTTACATTTTTGTGGTATAGATATGCTGTTGTAGCAAATATATATTTGCTTAGGTGTCAGCCAGCGAAGCACTGGCGACGGAACGTGGTGCCAGGGCGGAAAAAGCGGAATCTACCGTCGAGGAGTTGCAGTTGCGATTAGTGGCACAGGTATCCCTCGCCGAGTCTGCGCAGGAGCAGCTCCAGCGTGCTTCCAAGTATACTTCTTCGGATCTCTCTACTCTCTCTAAATTTTCTGGAATAACTTTTCACTCTTTTGGAGTGAATCTCACTCCAAAAGAGTGAAAATACTGCCGCTCAAGTGGCCGAGTGTATTCTCAATCTTTTGGAGTAAGATTCACTCCAGAAAATTTAGAGAGTAATTTGAAACACTTCAAGTACAGAAACTTGGGATAGTGTCAGAGATAACGTTTTGAACATATGATGCAATTAGGGAGTTGCAAACCGCGATGGCCGAGAGGCAGAAATTGGAGAAACGTCTGAAAGCTAGCGAGGGTAACGCGAAGACTCTGAGTTTACGCGCGATTTCCCTGGAGAGTCAGCTGGCTGATCGGGAAGTCGAGCTCCGCCGCGTCGAGATGGAATATCACTCGCAGATGTAAGATACCTATATTCTTTAAAAAAATATATATATATTGCCTCGTTCTTGAGACTAAATGGGCGCCACGAGATACTTTTGTATCGCCGCATCTCGGTAGGGCTGAATTGAACGAGCTGAGAGAGCGATTGGTGCGACAATCCCAGGAGGGTGGCTGGAGCAGTCGGATACTGCAGATCGCTGGGAGCATCATGCGCGTGTCCATCCTGCGGACTTTCGCGTTTCTGTCCAGTGCCACTCTGCCGTTGCCGCCGTAGGTTGGTATTTTATCTCGTAATTTCCAACTTATGCACGGAAAGAACAATTTTGCTGAACCCAGATCTGAAAATAATTTTTGTTCAATAATTAAAGTAATAACAGAATAATTTTGTGCGAAAGTCAAAATGATTGCTAGAATATCAAAACGTTTTACAGCAATGCTTATCAGTTTGAAAATTCCAACAAATTATTTTGATGATTCAACAAAAAATTGTTTTCAGATCTGTATTTAGCAAAATTTTTAGACCTTTCAACAAAATCGTTCTTTCCGTGTACAACAATTGCGAGAGGATCTTTTCTGTTCCACGGTGTTATCTCTCGCCGTTTGACGTAGACGCGCCGATCCGCGTTATGTAACACTCTCAGATCGAATCAATGAACGTTTCATTGACCAAGACCCGTATCAGCGTACGTACGTACTGGAGATTACGGACTGCGATCTGAAGATTAGGACTCGACCGATTAGATATAATTTAAACTTTTTTTGATCAGTTTCGTTCTGGGTAATCGAATTCTTATCTTCAATCCGCAATCCGCAACCTTCAATGCGTAGTCCGATACGGGCTTAAAATATACTTAGATTAATACTTCGGAATTTTGCTGCTGATTAATGAGTATACTTCACTTATCGCCAGTGTAAATAAATCCATGATTCGTTTAGAAGAGAGTAAAGTCGAGATATAAAAATAACATTGTTATATATCAATGTTCCGCAGATAAGGCAACTTGAGCGTGCTCGCAGTTTTCCAGGACATAAGCCGATTTAATCGGAGGAAACTGAATCGAAGGTACCGTTCGCTATTACGTGTGTGTACATATTTGCGAACGTGCAAATGTCTTCGGTCGTGAAGAGGAGAATATGTTTTATGATCAGAACGGAAGTTCGCAGATAGGAGACTGGTAAGGACTGGCGCTCGCAGGGCAGTCGAGAAATTAACAGGCATCAGCATTTCGTATACACTACGTTTAAGATAAATTGTAATTTTTTTTTTTAGTCAATATTTAATTTTTGAGGAGTAGAGATATTTTATATACACGCTTTGTATACACACGACATATCGTGCGTATGCATACATTGTAGGCAGAACAAGCGATTTTATTACGTCACGTGGATATTTCGATTTATAGGATAAATTTTTCCCTTTCGCGTAAATTCCGGAAGCAAGGAGATATAATGTAATGGACGGGGGGAGCTTAACGGGATTTATTGAATAAATGTAGACATATATACCTTTTAATCTATATATATATTTTTTTGTTAGTTTTTCCTTCACGTAATGATAAACTGATAAAAATAAATTACCGTCAGTTATTTATTTGATGGTAGATAATCTGGCAAGGCGGTTAGTTTCTTGCTATTGCGAGGCGCAGTTTTACGGTTTACGACTTATCGCTGGCCATTCGGCCATATTATTTCGCAACGAACAGTCTCTGCTACGGCGATTTGCTACGTTTCATATACTATATTTCCTTCTCTACTTAGTGATAAGTACATGTCACTGCATCTTAAATAAATAGGTATACCAGTATGCGACGCTCAATTTTACGATCGCAGCTGCTTCGTTTATGACTAGGTAATCATGCTTATTATATCGCGAGTATTTTTTTTTCTTTTTTTTCTTTGCGCGAGTCGATAAGAAATAGATGTAGCAACGTAGTGTCTCAGAATACAATCGTATTTTGTACTGGATGTACACACTAGTTGGCTTACGTTACATGCGCCATCGCGTCGACGTTGGAAGTACCGCATTAATCGCCGTGCTGTTTCGTTATGTAGTGAGACGAAGAAAACGAAGAAACTAAACTAGAGCGCAAAGCTTTTAATTACAATTAGCCTCTCCACGCGCACATTACTCGCCGTGCCCTTAAGTTCTCTTAAAATCACACAAGCCCCGCATCACGCGACTGAGAATGTATTCCAACTAATACTGATTAATGGAACGTTCAGTGTCGTTACAATGATCCCCCTCATCAAATGCACCACAATCTCCGCACGTGTAACACAGTACTCTTACTGCAAACGGAAAAAAATTATTTATGCGTATTTTGATTTGTTGTATCGTATATCCTTGCATACAGCGACGTCAGCTACACCTTCGCTCGAGGAGAACGGCGTTAATGGTTATCCTCTTTACTTAGTTCGAAAAACCTATCGTTAAGTTTTAGCTACGCTAAATCTCGATACAATATAATATTGAGCAATTCTCCGATGTTGAGGTAATATTGCTCTTGCTTCGAATAGCCTTTGTTTTTTTTTGTTTCTTTTTATTTTTTTAATAAAAACCCGTCGCCGCGGCTCAGTAGAAATTGCATCGTCTACATCGTCGGAAGATTAGATTGTTCCTGATAGTCCTCGGCGTGAACAGAAAAAAGTTAATTCCAAAAGTTCTAATCGTCTACATATCAAAATGTGCGACAAAGTTGACTCCCTCCCTTCCTGACCTCTCGCTGACAGGTAGGAAGTTACTACACGGGACAAACTCGTATGTAGGATCTATTATCGAAAAGATGTGGTTTCCTCTTTTTTTTTTCTTTTTTACCCCCGTCCAGAGAACAGGCTTTTTCGCTATCGAGAAAAATGGATACATAAATTGATTTAACCAACAGTTTCTAGTCAGACTAGAAGTTCGATGGCTCCCCGGAACTCCGGGTGATTTTTCCCCGGGAGTTCAGATCATGCCGAAACCTTCGGTGCCCTCGCTGATCGCCAACAGCAGCGCACGTTCGAAGTGATCGTAGCACTCGTAATCGGGTAAGCAGAGTTGGTTGAAGCTGGGAAAGCGAAACGTCCGTTATAATGGCAGATGTCAATGGTCAAAGGCAAAAACGTGAAATATCCTGACGGTACTTCTAATCGTGAGAACGTACCAGGTGTGTGCCGTGGGTAGATTAGCAAATGTCGGTGCAGCCGTGATCTGAAAGCGCGGGCTCAACTGCTGAAATCCACCGGGCGGCAATTGCGAGCAGCCGGTGGTGAACTGGAGCAGCCGCGCCATCTCCTCCTGCGTGAAATTGCTCACCGCCGTCCAGAACCAGTCGAGCACGCGGAGAAATTCCGGTGAGCTTCCGTTGGCTATGTGATGCGCGCGTAAATCTGCCACGCTGTACTCGCCGGTTCCGCACAGCAGCAACTGCGAGAGAGAAAGAGAGAGAGATAGATAAAAGTCGCAGAGCATTTTGTTGCAGAGAAGTTACTTTTTAAAAGTAACTAGTTATCGTTACTCGTTACCGAGTTAAAAAAGTAACTAGTTATCGTTATTAGTTACCGATTTTTAAAAATAACTCGTTATGGTTACTTAAAAAATAACGATTCGTTACTTTTCCGTTACTTTTTTAATGCTAAAATAAGATCTAAATAATTTAAGATGCAATTTTTTGTTTTAATATTAATAAAAGCGATACAACAATGACACCAGACTGATATATAAAAATAAAACTAGAAAAAAGAAAGCCTTTTCGATGTGAGCTAGAGCTTCGAGCTTTGTACTTAATATTTTAAAGTTAATTTATATACATACATATTTAATTCTACAAGTTACGAGCCAATAAAATTTTTAATCTTGAAACGTAATTTAGCTAATATTTTTCACAATAAATTTTTCAAAGTATTCTCAGATGTCCATAACGTAAATAAATATCTTATTGAATTACTTGTCAATTTAATTTGTGATACTGATTGATTTATGGCATTTTTAAGATGATATAAACCAATCACAGAGCCATATTAATATTTTAAGACATTATTTAAAACAGTCTTAAAATAAGAGTAAACTATGAATACTAGCTAAAGACTAAAGATTGAATATATAAACGAAATTTTTTCACAATTTTTTTTCACAAATACAAAAATACAAAAGTAACAATAAAAGTAACCATTTAATTCGTTACTGAACAAAATGTAATTACATTACCGTTACAGTTACAAAAAAAATAGAATAACGCCGTTACCAAAAAAGAGTATAAACTGTAACAGTAACAGCGTTACAAGTAACTCGTTACTTCCCATCCCTGCTTTGCTGTGGGTACCTCTTTCGATAGGCTTGTTTTAACGATTAAATTTTACGCACCTCCAATTCATTTTCGTCAAATATGCCCAAGAGGTTGTCGGGAATCAATTCGTTGAGACCGCGCAGAAAATGATCCACCTCGTTACGGATGGAGCTTGCGAGCCGATGCTGAGCGAGCGCATCCAGATAACGAAGCTTCGTTTCGTTGGTCACTCGAACTTTGCTGCCACCAGGAATTAATTCTGCGACCTACAAAACATAAGTATTAACCATAGCTTTCGGAGTTGTGCAGTAAATTTCGGCTGCACATCAAGTTTAGAGATAGAATAAGGTGGATAATTGGAATCTAATATTAACGTTGTATTTCGAAATAAATATAAAAGAAACTTTATTACAGATTTCGCACGAGTGCAAAACGATTCATTATTTACTTCAATTTCATTTTATAAATGACTTTAATATTTTTTAAATTCTTATTGAGACATATTTTGTGTTCCAACAAGAATTTAAAAAATATTAAAGTCATTTAAAGTCATTAAATTTAATTATTTCAAAATTACTATAATTTTTTAAAATATTTCAGATACATATATTAATATTACTGTTTTACAATCTATATTAGACTATTATTTAACAGCGTGTTGTACATTAAAGATTGATAGCTACCAGAAGAAGTAACAACGTATTGTACCTTCAACAGTTGTCCATCCTTATCATATTCCTCCTCGACGAAATACAGTTCCATTTCTTCAACGTCATTCTCGAGAATATACTTCACCTTACTCAAATACAGATCGGGATCATCTTGTTCGAAATACTAGTAAAAAGATACAGTTGTCGCTTTATCTGTTATTAACTTTTTTTTTGCGCAAGAATAAGAAAGAAGTTCGAAGATGTTACCTTGTAATGCACTCTGAGTCCTATAATCTGCGCGAGGAACGATCTGGTGAATCGCGCGCGTACTAGCTGACGATAGGACCCGCCGAGCGCCGACTCGTAAAGACACTTGCCTACGATACGCCCGGCGAACTCGTAGTGCTTCAATTTAAGGTGCGCCGGTCGTTTGGGATTCGGGTGCACCAATGCCTGTTGCGATTCCCCAAACGACGCGAACAAACCGTTCCCCGGGTCGAACAGCGCGGCGCATATCAATTCGAACCATTCACGTCGCACGCCGCCCCAATCAACGCCTAACACGAGATAATGAATTATAAGTAATTGCCTCTTGTAATTGTTTCGAAATCGATCTCCGTAAAAGCACCTCTTCCTTGAAATGTTCAAATGTAACGTACCTTGCTCGCCTTGAAAAGTGATTTCGAAATTTCGGCACCAATCGCTCACGGAAAAGCCTTTAGTAGCTTTCATAGACTTAAAAAAAAAAACAAAAAAAAAGTAATTAACTATATATTTTATAAGATTAATTAATATACAATATTAATGAATGTACAGTCATGGACATATCGGTTGCGACACTTTTTTTTCATAAGTATATATTTAATTTATTTAATATATATAATATACAGGGTATCTCGAAATTCGCGAATCAAAATATCATAGCAAGAAAGTCTTCGAAAAATTAAGTAAAAAAGTTATTTGTAATTTTTTATTTTAAGTAGTTTTTGAGATATAAGAGTTTAAATTTAGCAAATTATAGATTACGGTTAAACGGAAATATGTCCGTGAACGCGTCGATAGTATCGCGGGCCACAGGACGCGCGCGTACTAATCTATAATTGGTTAAATTTAAACTCTTATATCTCAAAAACTGCTTAAAATAAAGTTACAAATAACTTTTTTACTTACTTTTTCGAAGACTCTCTTGCAATAATTTTGATTCGCGAAATTTCGGGGGACATCCTGCATATTTTGTAGGTAACTAATATTTTGCAAATGCGAGCCACGATGGTGTACTATCTTTAGTTTATAGACAGTGCACCAATCGTGGTTCGCATTTGCAAAATATTAGTGCATTTCGTAGAGGTGTGCGAATAGTTCGAATTCGAATCGAATCGAATCGAATCACAGTAGATTCGAGTTTGTTTTCGAATCTGCAAGATTCGAAATCGAATAGTTCGAGAATTTCGAATTCACAATGGTTCGATTTCGAATCGATCGCCTAATGTAATGTTAATTTGGGAAAATTTGATTCAGATTCGATTCGTATTCGAATTAAAGAGATTCGATTCGACCATGCAAATCCTTGATTCGCATACCTCTAGCATTTCGAAACCTATTAAAAAAAAAATGTCGCAACCGCGGATATGTCCACGACTGTACATCTTTTTACACGCCGTGTATATTATCAATATATTTAAATACTTACCGATTCCAAAAGCTTATCACGCTGCACTTTCATCGAGAGCTTCTCGTGATAGTGCTTCTGGTGATGCTTACGGACCTCGTGATAGAAAAAGTCTTGCTTGTCAGCGAACGTTTCGCTACCGCCGATGTTTTTCAAGAGAAACAAAGTGAAAGTGGCGGCAATTATATCACGGTACAGCGATATCAGTTCGACGGGAGGCTGGCATCCGTCGTCTATCGAGAAGGGGTAGTATCCCTCGTGCTGATTAGTCGAACTTTCAAAATGAAACTGCAATGTGCAATCCAAAAGATAAGAAATTACAACAGAATCTAACGAATCGACGTGCACGTAAAATTATCTTGGACGGATTATATACTGCACCTTAGTCGAAGGACATAGTCTAAATGTTACGAGTCTCTTGGGAATAAATTTCAACAAGTATTCCTTAATCGTAAGCTGTTTAGGCGAGATGAAGCAAAAGACCTTCTTCGGTTTGGAAAATCTCTCTCCTTGCATGCCCAGCAATTTCGCGACGTAGCAGATATCCGGATCCTTGGACGCTACGTTATTGTGCACCATTCTCGCGACAGAATCTGGTAACGAGAAGAAAAACGGAATGCGCCAGGCGCGTCATTATGCGAAAGCGTAATAGAAAGGGTGTATTTTGAAAATAAGGTATAGAAAAGGGGTGCTTGAAAATAAGACATTTTACATACTCTCGAGCACGATGATATCAAAATCCCCATTATGCAGCTGCAGCCCTGCCAGGCTAACGGTTGCGTGATAACATCCGCCTTTCGGAAAGCTCACTTTTAAACGAATCCTTTGGTTTGAAGAATCGTAGTCGAGCTGAATACTACAGTCTACCATCGAGCCTTTATCTACTACACTACCGATCTAAACAAAATAGATTTGGGAAAATTGGATTAGGCAATAATAGATTAAGATTTTTTTTATTTTCGTGATATTCTCTGATTTAAATCAAAATAAAGATCAAGCGCGGTAAAATACAATTTTTGATATTTTTACGTATTTTTAAATATAATATAGTTTTAATTTCGCGCCCCTCCAACTGCGCTTGAATCTCATTTGCCCTCTACTTTTATATCTTTTGATTTGAATATCGAGGGTTCTTTAATCAATATATCTTTCCTGATTTACCTGAGTAATATTGACATTATAGCCTTCTGTAGGCTGTTCTCCAGGCCCAAATATGCACAGATTGTCATATTCGTCACGTGGCTCTATTGTCATCGAATGGGCTATCCCAGCTGTACAAACGACCGTGGAACTTTGTCGTACAAAGACCGTCTTGTTTGGATCCGGTGGACCTATATAGTAAACAATATACGATTACGACACATAATCGCAATTCGCAACTAACAATAAGAATTTATACAGCACGTTCCAGATTTCGCTAATTAACGTTAATTCTTCGATTAGAATAGAGTTCTGTTTAGCAAAAATATCCATAATTATTTGTTAGAAATATCCTATTTTAAATAATAAACATTTGTTAATAATATTAATCATTCAAATTATAAATTAGCGTAAAGGCTACTTTAAAAGGAAATTAAATGAGAAAGTATTTTACATGTCGTTCACATACACGGAAAGAACGATTTTGTTGAAAGATTTAAAAATTTTGCTGAATACATGGATTTGAAAATAATTTTTGTTCAATAATCGAAATAATTTGTTGGCAAGTTAAAAATAATAGGCATTGCTATATAAAACGTTTTGATATTCTAGCAATCATTTTAACTTTATTATTTTGATTGTTGAACAAAAATTATTCTGATCTGGATCCAACAAAATTGTTCTTTCCGTGTGTTTAAAAAAATTTTTTAAAACATGTTTTTTTGGGAAAATTTCCAAGTTTCCACCTCTAATAGTAATTTGAGGACTAACAATATTCTTTCATATTTTTTAAAAAGACATCCTCTTATATATCACAGGGGCTGGTGATTCACGAGGTATTCTCGTTATATTATTGAGTATTACTTTACGACGCATCATGCAACGGATATACGTACCGGGGAGGAAATTCTTAAGAAACGGGCTGCCATGAACGTGACACGATCCGATAAGTACAGCTATGCGATATTGTCCCGCATGGCGGACAGTAAACTTTACTACTGCAGTATTCGCAGCTAAGGGGTCGGTGCCTCCCAGTTCTATTAGCGTGGCCACTCTGCGCGTATCCTCCGTTACCTCGACGATCAAATTATCCTTGTCACATATCGGGTACGGCTGACCGTTGCGCTGATAAAACTGCAAACGGATATCTCTATATCTAATTGACGAGCTAAGAAACTTGGCTTGAGTTATCGCTGACTTTTATTGCGTGCGCGCTTAGCTCCTTATTAATAATGACGTCTCTCAAACAAATATACATATGCATATATAAATATCTGAAGGTCTTTAATCGCTTGTCTAAGAAAAACTTAAGTTTACATCTCGCGCGGCTCTGTACACACGCAGGATTACCTACTTCTCTCCATGCATGTCTTGCTCCGCGGCGCGACGCGGAGATTACCGCATCTGAATATAAATATCCGCGAAAGAGGAAGAGAGAGAGAGAGAGAGAGAGAGAGGAGGAGGATTCCGGCGCAATCGCTTTACTCACTTTGACCGTAAAAGTCATCGTTTCGCCGACCAGCTGAGGCTCTTCCCACTCGAAATGAACGCGGCAGTTACTCGGCAATAAATATTTCCCTGTGACGTACTGGAGAAGAGAGTGTTTCGCTTCGGGTGCCAGAGCGGGCTGCGTCATAGCAGCCAGGGTAACCAGCCCTGCCACCGACACGGAAACTACCAGCATACCGCCTGGCGAGTGCAAGGAGTTATTTGTTAGTTTTGCGCGTTTTAATTAATGGCCTCCCGATAATCGTGCCCGGGAGAGAGAAGGAGAACGTTTAATAAAAGTAATGAAAGATCGCGTGTGAGTAGAGAATCGACTTTTAACGCTCGCATGTGCTAGATTTTAATTCGCAGTAGTGCTGCGCACTAAACTATTAGATTGCATAGAGAGAGAGAGTTAATAATTTAAGTATTAAACACTTTATTAAAAATTAACAATAATTTTTTACTTTATTTTATTTTATTTTATTCGTAAGCATATTTGTCCCCTTCCCCCCTCCCGGAGTTACTTTTATCAATCTTTTCCCTTTTCTCAAATTATTTTATCTTTGCAACGAAACTACGTTTAAAGTGTAAACTCTGGAGTCTTCTCTCTCTTTTCTTGTAAGCTACAAAGAGAAAATCCACGGTTTTGCTAAAGTATCTAAAAATTTAGCTAGATATAGATCTGAAAATAATTACATTGGACGCTTAAACTGGTTACATAATTATAATTGCTAACTACATAATTATTACTATGCAAGACTTTCGAGCGCGTGATGATAACGCTGCAAAAAATTCTGACATTCTATTAACCAGCTTGAGCGTCCAATATAATTACTTACAATTAGATAGTCCAACACAATTACTTTCAGATCTATATCTGGCCTAATTTTTATATATTTCAGCAAAACCGTTCTTTCCGTACGCGCGTTCCCTTTCTTTCCCCTTTACGGGCGCAATATTAAATTTTCTAATCTTTCTCAAAAGTCCCTCGAACACAAAGCTACCGTAGAAATCACAATTTATTCGATTTCCCGCGCTAAAAATGGATTCTCCTTGCGAAGAAAGGATTTTATTTCACGGAAATGGAGAGAACATAATGGAAAAACTCGTACCCCATGTCCAAGCGTCTTGGTGTTGGCTGTTCTTTACAACGGCACTCCACAGATCCGCTTTGAGAGTTTCCAAGTCTTCTTTCGAAGTGGGTAACGTCTGCCTAGCCTGGGTCCATCGCGGTAGATCCTTGCCAAGGGCTGCCCGTGCCGCATTGTCCTCCACCCAGTATACGTCCTCCAGGGACATAACTTCCATTTGCATCAACCTGACAAAGTATATACATCTTCAATAGTATACACTCACCTGGCAAAGTATACCCAATCTTTTTTAAGAGGATTTCTTTATTTTGAGCAACAATAAGCTGAATAGCAGTTGCTCATGAACTGAGTTTTCCGAAAAAGAAACTAACAAAGAGAGGATAATTAGGTATTATTAGACCTCCCTATAAATATGATAATAATTACTTCTGACTGTATAATTGTAATGGTAATGGCAATCAAGTATTTGCAAAGAATCAACAGAATCGTCAAGCGCATCGATGATCGTTGGATCCTTCATACATATTTATACACAGAAAGAACGATTTTGTTGAAAGATCTAAAAATTTTGCTAAAAACAGATCTGAAAATAATTTTTTGTTGAATCATCAAAATAATTTACTGGAATACTTAAAACTGATAATATTTCTATAAAACGTTTTGATATTCTAGCAATCATTTTGACTTTCGCACAAAGTTATTTTGATTATTAAACAAAAATTATTTTCAGATCTGGATTCAGCAAAATAGTTCTTTCGATATACGGAAAGAACGATTTTGCTGAATACAGATCTGAAAATAATTCTTGTTGGATCATCGAAATAATTTTGTTGGAAATGCAAACTAGTTGCCAGAAATATTAAAACGTTTTACAGTAATGCTTATCATTTTTGAGTTTCCGACAAAATTATTTTGATGACCCAACAAAATCATTTTCAGATCAAAATTTCTTCCGGCAAAATCGTTCTTTCCGTGCATGTTATTCTTTTTTTCTTACCTCTGATAATAATGATGTAGGCCATGGTCCATCAGCCATTGACGTAGCACCAGTCGCTGTTGCAGCAGGCGCGCAGCGCGCTGCAGACGTTCCTCATCTTGCGCCGGCAGCTCGGGTAGCGCGTCCACCTCGCCGCAACTCGCGAGGGTCGAGATACCTGTCACAAAAGAAAAAACAAATTCACATTCGTATGACAATGCACAACGAGCGAGTTGATTAGCCTGAGACGAAAGAACTATAAGAAGTAAAAAAACGAGAAAGACTTTGAGGCACTTTCTTGAATTTGCGTGTACTTTCCTTCTTTTCTCGAGAAAAAATAAAAAAATATTTATTTCTTACAAAACATGTTATATGCTTGTAGCTTTTACATCGTACTTTCCAACATTATGCAATATAAATAGTACACAGAAACAATGGTTTTGCTAAAGTATCTAAAAATTTCGCTAAAAATACCTATAGATCTGAAAATGATTTTGTTAGACCATCAAAATAATTATGCAGGACCCTCAAGTTGGTTGCTAAAACTTTTTGCAGTATCGCTCATTATGCTTGAGCGCCCTACATATTTTGATAGTTACATAAAATTATTTTCAGATCTGTATTTAAATTTTAGACACACTTCAACAGAATCCTTTCAATGTAAGGATTTAACGCGTACACGGAAAGAACGATTTTGTTGAAAGACCTAAAAATTTTGCTAAAAACAGATCTAAAAATAATTTTTTATTGAATCATCAAAATAATTTGTTGGAATGTTAAAACTGATAAGTATTGCTATAAAATGTTTTGATATTCTAGCAATCATTTGACTTTCGCACAAAATAATTTTGACTATTGAACAAAAATTATTTTCAGATCTGGATTCAACAAAATTGTTCTTTCCGTGTAAATTATAATTGTATTTCCTGAGACACAAGGCTGATTTTTTATGGCGCTTCATTGGAACGTAGACAACAACGCATCGTCAATTAATGATATATTTGTATAATCAGCGGAACACGCGCGTGAATTCGCTGCGGTATTCGAGGTATTTGCGTAACAATTGTTTCACCGATAGCGTGATATCGGAACGGGAAGCGTCGAATGCGATAATTCGGATGTACGGAGGAACTGCTCGCTTCTTCACATATCCATTCTCGGCGAACGGTCAGTTGTAAAATCGCTCACAAGCAATATGCGTTTCGAGACGTGCCGAGATTCGCTTCTCGTTCTTGCCTGCGCTTCCGTCTTCGTAGACGCCGCGATCGCAGCGTGCACCAGCAGCAGATACGAGGATGGTGAGGCCAGTATTCCTGATATTTTACGAGTGCCCTGTGTTCCCCGCGGTGCTCGTCCATTCTTCAAAGAATCTCTTTCTTCTATATTCTCTCCAGTTTAGCTACGCGCGCGCGTGCTTCGATTGCGGTAAAAGTTGTCCGTTTTATTTTTTTCTTTCAGATAAATTGTAAACTCGTAGAACGTAAAAAATAATATACGAGACGATAAAAAAAACAATTAAAATAAGCGAGGAAAGCCACATTTGTCGGATCCTGGTGCCTAACAATATTTTTGCGTAAATTTTTACAATTTTCAATTCATGCCAACCGCACGCGTCGCAGCTTAAGGTAAACGTCTCATTGACCAGACATGTGCGTTTATGTCCAGACATTTACACAAAACTTATTAATCTCAAGTCCTATAATATCAAAATTTAATTGTAAAACAATTAAAAAAGATGGGAAAATGCCAATAACGGTCCAAAGCGAATCTTGGTGCTCGATAATATCATAATGTGAATCTCTTTTAATATGTTAATCTAATTATTTATAACATTCCACGATTTATCCTGATATTTATTTACTTATACACGTCGCTTTGAAAATACTTTCTTCCTAAATTTATTGGTTATTGCGAGAAATATTATCATATGCCTCGGTGATTGGACAGATAAGACGCCCGTCCGCGGAGAGCAGGGAGGTCCGGGTTCAGATCCTGGTTGAGATAATATTTTTCGCAATCAGTTATTTTCACAGGATTTAAAAAGATGAGCATCGAATTATAAGATTGTCATGGCGATTTAATTGTGATATTACGTGATATATTACTATTCGGTTTCGAGCTGCGTTGAAAAATCCGACGATTATGCGGCGCGCAGTTTATCTGAACTGAAAATTGTAACATTCTCATATTATAATAATATCGAGCACTGAGATTCACTTTAGATCATTGTTGACCTTTTTCCATCTCAATTTGAACGTTTCACTATCTAACCTGATAATTAATTATTGAATTGTAAAAATAATATTATAATAAAAAAAGCATTTGAGATTAATATAAATAATAGAAGTTTTGAGTATGTGCTCGGACTTAAGTACACGTTCGGTCTGTTTAAACTGGGACGTTTACTTATTTTGAAATACAGTCTTAAACCAAAGCTGGAGTAGTAATATTTGCACAAATTAAATTGACAAGCGACAATTGACAAAAGACACCTGTCATAATGATAATTGTCACCGATTAACTGATCTTACACGGAAAGAACGATTTTGCTGAAGAGTCTAAAAATTTAGCTAAAAACAGATCTGAAAGTAATTTTTTGTTAAATCGTCAAAATAATTTGTTGAAATGTTAAAACTGATAAGCATTGCTATAAAACGTTTATTCTAGCAATCATTTTGACTTTCGCACAAAATTATTTTGATTAATTATTGAACAAAAATTATTTTCAGATCTGAATTCAGCAATATTGTTCTATCCATGTACTTTTGTTGCTATTACCGCAACTTTTTCATAAATATACATATATTATCACACAGTTTGCTGACTTAATTATGTCCAGGAATTGGCAAGCGGCTAAAATGTTCCAACGTCACGTTAACTATCGCCCTAACATTCGGCGGGCCGGACGTGGACGACGTCATGATTTTCCAGTCGCGGATAGAAAGCATTCCCGACCGGTCTTTCATGAGATACAGCCAGAACCTAGTCTCCCTGAGTATGCACGACTGCGGCATCAAGGAGATTTCCGGCCACGCGTTCGACAGCCTGAGGAAGCTGAGGAAGCTCAACCTGCCGTACAACAACATCACGTCGGTGAGGGACCAGTGGTTCGTCGATCTGTCGTCGCTGCAGCAGTTGGACCTGTCGTACAATCTCATCGCGTCGATCGAGCCGACGGTCTTTGGGAAGCTGCACGATCTCAAGTGGCTCGACGTCAGGGAGAACCGTTTGACGTGCCTGGAGCCGACTCAGCTCGCACCGATGGCCGGCCTCGAGAAGCTCCGCTTCTCCGGAAATCCCCTCACCTTCCGGTGCCGCGGCACGGTGAGCGCGCATTCCACCTTTCGTATTAAGCGAGAATAAACGAGCGTTGTAACGGAAACACATGCATGCGCGACGACGAGGTACGGGCTTTGTTGAATCTAATTCGAAATCGTGAATATATCTGTATGTATATTTATATAACGTGACATTGGAAGCAAAATGTGCTTGGAGATATTAATGTCTCGTCCTCTTTCGCGCTGCTCGCTTATCATCTAAAACCGGATGCTGGCATTCCGTTCTGATGCGCGCGCGCGTTTATCGATGAAAGGAACGTTTTCGTTGTAACATTGAAAGGCATTTCGGAAATAGTTTCAAGCTAGTTATGAACTTCACACGTGTTGCAGCTGACGCTGTGGCTGCGGGATCTCGGGATAAGTTACAAAACCGATCAACGCGGGGAGGAAAACTGGCTGGACAGTATACTGTGGCTCTGCGCCGCGGACGACGTCAAGGTGGCCGATTCCGAGGTCTTCATGAAGGAGTGCGTCATCCTGAATCTATTCAATCAACTTCGCACCGGTTTGACCACGGCCGAGTCCTTCCCCCTGTCCATCCCCCAGGGGTGCGTGCACGCGAGAAACGAGCTCACGAAGTGCGTCGCTGAGGATCGCAAGCACGGCAGAGAAGTCGTTACCAACGGACATGTCGTGAGAAAACTGTTGAGGCAGTTGCAAGAATCGAAGTCGAGCGTATAACGCGCAAGAAACGACATATCGCTCTCAATTGATGCAACGACACAATTAAATTGTCATTGTTTAATTACTTACAGAAAAAGAAAAACTGTATATACTTTAAAGGAATGTTCTTTTAGTCTTCTACAATCAGTTATTGTATTATTATAATTTCGAAATTAATATTACAACAGTTCTTTCTCAATATTACATTCGTTCATCTTTTTACATCTATTTTCAGTTGGAAATGACTGTAGGTTAAAACGCGCACATGGCCTTTTTTTAAAGAGTATTTTTGTAAACGACTTATAATGACTGATTATTAAATAATTCATATTCCAAAAGATTTATGCCGCGCATCAAGTGGAATAAAGACACTAACTCTAGGCTCATCCTCAGGATAAAAATTCATATTTTTATTCGGAAAAATATGAAACAATCGAGAACATATTTAATAGTTGTATTAATCATGAAGAATACTTTATAATTTCAATAATACTTTATATTTTTTAATTTTAATTGAAAATTATTCACAATTAGACCCCTGGAGTTAGTTGCGCATCAGACTATCAAACTGTGAAACATATTTATGGGTCAATTCTAAGTAGAATCGTATAAGGTTCGTAATTTGTACTCGTAAGACTTGTAAGAACTTATGACTGAATGCTTGTTACTTTGCAATATTTTTACAGACAGCTTCTTGCTAGCCGTAAGATTTACGAGAAATCATAGATATTTACGAATGATCGTACGTCTTATGCATAGAATTACAGTCATAAGTTCACACAAGTCTTATGAGAATAAGTTGCGAGTCTTTCGATTCTGAATTGACCCATTAATTTTAACTGATTATGAGCATGACGTTGATTTTTTTCCATGAAATCTAATGCTATTTACTACTTCCTGTAAAAGCCATAAGACAATCGTAATAAGTATTAAACTTTGTATGAATTTTTAAAAATACACCTAATTTAACGTCTCAGCTTTTATTACTTACTGATATCAATAAAATATGCAGTCATAATTGCTAGCAAACAAGAAACAATTAATTGATAAAGCTAACATAAATGCTAAAAATTCTTGCGATATGCGCCCAGTCGACGAAAAATGCAATAAATATTTAAATATAATAAATTATCCAGAATTAGTGCCTGATCCACATCTAGTCCGCATCTTATTACTGCAATTGAGATCCCATCAGACAGCCTCCGTTTTTTTACCTTTTTCTTTAGTTTGATATTACAAAATTTTAACGATCCAAAACATACAAATTTATTTTTAAACTCTTTCTCCGGAAAATTTCGTTTTTTAAATTATGTCGTTGTTGTAGCAAATAAGTGATATCAACTCCACGTCAAGTTTAATCTAAAAACGTCGTAATTAGACGTAAATAGTTCAAAAAATTTGCAATCGCCGACTACGAATAACACTTCACATAAAAATGTCCACTCCTGAAGTGAATATTTTTGTACCTGTAAATATTTTATTTTCCACGTATACAAATATCCTGTCAAGGAAAATGTTTTACTTGTAAGCTTGTCCATCATAATGATTAACCTTTACAGGACGGAAAGCCACTACAGTGGCACTGAAACAGTGTCATATTTCGTGAAAGAATGTATTATAATAAATCTTACTCAAGAAAAAGCGCTATGAGGTTTTTAAAAATAGATTTCCCCGTTTTCTAAAGATTAATCTATTGAAATATAAAAGAAGAAAAGCGCTGACTGGAACACTTTTTTTTTTTAGAAAAACATTTCTTTCAGAAATTACATGATTACTTTAGAATTGTGTTAATTAAGGCGATGCTGGAGGTCGGAATTACCGACATTACAGTTATATAAATATCTCTAAATTGACTGAACGGAATTGAAATAGACATAAAATGTAGTGATGGAACGAAGGAATTTGTGGTAAAAACGAAATAAAAAAAGAAAATAATTTTTTAATTTTTTTTCCGTTTTTACTACAAATTCCTTCGTCCCACCACTACATTTCATGTTTATTTCAATCCTGTAAAAGAAATTTCAATTTTATTCGGAGATATTCATATAACTGTAACGTCCATAATTCCGGCATCGCGAGTGAGTGTAAAAAATCAATAAAAAAATTGTCTATAATTCTAAGGAATATTGAAGTATACATCAACAATTCCGAAATTGGAGGGTTGCGCTGCGCTTTCTCTCAGCGCACATGCGCGGGCCTATCTATTATACAGGTAGTACATATACGTCAGTGCAAATTATGCAACGCGGTACATGTCAAATGGTTTACGTGCCGGCTCTCGAGACTCGCATCGGACATTCGTCCTCAGTAAGTAGAGTAGTTACTCACCGGAGGATGCGCTCCCGCTGGGCCGCAACGACATGCCGATGGATGATATTTCGCCGGCAAGAAAATCTTTGTTCTCGCGTTGTCCATGTCGGCAGCCGGGATTTTTGTCCGGCATAATTTCTCTCTCTCTCTCTATATATATATATCTTTTTCTCTTTCTCGATAGCCTCTTCTAGCTTTGTACGGTCGTTCTTAACGTCGCATCGTCTCCGCTCACCGCTGTCGCGTCGGTGTCGATTTCCGCATCTCTTTGGAAAATTTCGTTAGACCGTTCAGTCGAGGCACACGTGCACACATTACACTTGGCATTTTGGGGTGCATCGGCGAACAGCGAGTGCGAGTGTGCGGTGAATGATAAAAGGGATCGCGTTACGCGATACACTATCTCTGGATTATAGTGCATGGTGTAGCGCGCGGTGTATTTCGTCGCGGAAACGCTACCCGCGCTCGTTACTTCACGGAATTGCGGCCGGGCGAGTTGGACAGACATTCGGAGGTACTGAGAAATGTGCGCAATTACGAGCGAGTAGTAGTACTACTAGTGCGGTATCAGACAACGGAAATCTGGCTGTTAATCTGACCGTTTTCCTGAGAAGCTGCCAGATTTAAATGGATTGTGATATTGGATTTTAAATAGATTGTGAAACTACAATAAAACTATTGCATTTTGATTTGACGCGTCACATTTTTTCCATATATTTAAAATGTTTTACGTTTAAAATTAGGGGAGAGTTGCCAAATGCGTACCAGTCTCGGTACGCATAAAGTGTGCATCTTCAAAAATTTATAGTTCCACTTAAGAAGCAACATTTAGTAACAAAAATACAAGGTAAATAAGAAATGTGTAAAATAGACAAAAAACAGGTTACATCTTGTTTTGTTCATGCTATCAACATTTTAAAAAATCAGATATAATCGCAGATGTAAATTTTTGATCAATTTATATAGCTGATACTAATGTAACCATGCAATTTTTAATTGAATTGTTATTTTTTCCTAAAAGAAAGTTTATAATGGCATATTTTATATTCCTTTTATATACATATTTACAATTATTATAAAAATTATATCAATATTTTTATCATCTTTGTCAAGTTTCCTAAATCGTACCTAACCTAACCAGCATAAGAGTTCTTATATTGTATCGATACAATTTAGGAACTTTAATGTATCTTTATCTTTAGATCACATAATCAACATTATTTATTTTAACACGATCGAAGTTGTTCTGTAGCAAGTCTGTAGAGGAAAAAACCGTCATCGTGTTGCGTAAGAAAAACAGCTATTGTTTGATAAATTACAATTAAAGTAGGTATTAATTCATGATTCTTTTATTAATCTTGTGTTTTTAATTATTTTCATTCATAAATTCAATAGTTTCGAAGGCGGTACTATTAATAAAACTCACAGGTACGATTTAGGCGACCGGTTTGCTTTTGACAGCATGTTGCAAAAAAGAACAAATTAATTTGCTATTAGTGAAAGATTTATGTGTAATATTAGATGCCTTGAACATCAAGCTACAATTTACAACATTCGTTTGCATTCTAAATAGTACCACATGTGAAATATAACCAAAAATATCTTAAGTGGTACGCATTCGGCAACTCTCCCCTATAGCAGCCCCGTAATTACGCAAGTTAAGCGTGCGTGAATTGATATTTATTTCGTTGCTGAAAGAACAATCGGATCATCGTTATACGGCTCGCCGGGCTCGTCTCCCATTTGAAGCGAGAAAAAGCTGACACAGGCTTGCGTTGCAAGAATTAAACGGTGAACGTCATTAACCTTCTCAATCGCACGTACACGCCGCCTTTGTGCGACACAAAGCACACTGAAATTACATCGCCCGGGACGTATGGCGAAGGTGCAGAGTGCACTTTGGCGAAACAAAAATGAAAAAAAATCGAGAAAGAAAGAAAGGAAGGAAGCGAGATCGTGAGCTTAATCTACGTCGGGGAAGACAAAGGGCGTTTATGTTTTCGTCGTGAATTAATTCGACGATGGAAAACATTAATCAACCCTTTCGCGCCGAACAATGGCTGCCTCCGGTATACGCGCGCGAATGAAAGAATGGAGCGAGGCACAATTAATTTCAATTATTCGCGACGATTCGCGGGTTATGGATGCAGGTGGAGGCAAATAGAGGCGAGGCAAGAGAGTACGCTGCTGCTGCTGCTGCGTACGCTAGACAAAGCCAATGAAGTCGGATGGACGAACATTAATTAGCAATTTGTAAATGGATCACCAGGGACAATCGATTCTCTACACGCGCGGACGAGAAAGAATGCAGGTAAATTTCTGCAAAATTGATTCGATCGCGAGTTTTAATTGACCTCGAGTGCAAATCGTTTAATTATTCTTAGTAAATTATCATTCTCTGTATGTGCGGGAGAAGGGGAAAATAAAACAATTAAAATTGATTCAATCGCAAGCTTCAACGAACAAAAATCTCGAGTTATATGTAGAAATTTGGCATTGGTAAATCGTTCACTGTTGGAAAATTTGTGTTATATTTTAACAAATTTCACATGTCCCAAACGGTCCATTTAAATTTTTATGTTAATTTAACATAAAATGAATATGTTAGAAAGTAACACAAATATTATATTAAAAAATTAACACAAAAATGTAACACTGACACAATTTGTGAGAAAACTGTGGAAGCATATTTTTCCAATAAATTTAACATTTATAGTATTAAATTGTTAAATTAGCAATTTAATATTATAAATTTTATTAATTAACGCATTTTATTTATTTATGTTAGAATTTAGGTTTTAAAACACATTATTTTTATGTTATTTGTTCATTTACTCATAAATTATGTTATTTTAACACTAAGAAATGTTGAATATCAATTTAATACCTTGTTTAACACAAAATATTTAAATGATATAGTCACATTATGTTAAATTAACACTAGAATATGTTAAAAATGTCATCACAAAATTTTAACAAACAAGTGAATGGACCGTTTCTAACATAAATATAAAATGTTTTTTAATATGTTCGATTATTCTTAGAATAATAAATCGTTATTTTATATACATATGTGTGTGTGTGTGTGCGCGCGCGCGCGCGCGCGTGTGCGTGTGTTTGTGTATTTGTGGGAAAAAAGCAATTAAAAATTGTAGCCAAATTTAACAGAAAAAAAAAATTAAAAAATCGACGCTCTATAATACTTGCTCTATCGTGATCTGCTGTAACAGCACGCATATAATTCACCGTATATCATCGTAGTTTTTAATTAAGGGCTCATCGCTGTTTCGCGGAATAGCGGGAATGGATTTATGAAATAAGGACAATATTGGATGGAACAGCGGCTTGAAGAGCGCGACGTCCAAACTTCACGAGAATTTAAATCCTTAAAGTTTCATCATTTAATTTAGAAAGTCGATTGCACGCCCCATAAAAGTTTCAATGTAAAACGCTCGTACTGTTTTTACAGACTTCACTTCCATTTCTCAACCACACATGCAACACGACTGAAATTGTAAATAAACGTTTTATTTAAAGACAATCGCGATTCAAACAACACGTAATAAATTAAAAGAAAAACCGATTATACGTTAAATCCTCTTAATCAATGTACAATGATACGCGATGACGGGTTACACAAATTTAGTATAATTAGTATAATTTATAATAATTTAGTTTAATTTAGTATAATTTATAATAATTAATATAATTTAGTATTAAAAAAATAAACTATTCAGATACGTGTATTTAATAGAATAGAAAATGTAATTTCATATTCCAAAGGGGGAAGATTTTGAATCGTTTCATTGTCAGTTAAATCGCTTAAAAGATAATCGACTGGTCAGTTTCCGTAAATCCGAACGCGCTGGTTCTCTCCCGACGGCCTAATAAACGTAACGATTTAATATTGCGGGCCGCATCGCGACGGAATGGGGACGCGAATACGGGAATACCCCGTTCAATCACGGTGACCATGCATTACTATAAATTAAGTGTTTTCGAAAGGAGGTCAAGAGTCCACTTGAGGTCATCGGCGGGAGGTTATCGAATATCCATATTTTCCGCGGACTTCTCGTTTTCTGCGCAAAAATTGATCGTTTAATGTGTTAACACAGTCGCGAAAGCATCGCGAAAGAAAAACTCTGTGTGTGAATAAAAATACGGAACGCCGCAGGATACACACACACACCGTCGGTGGCTGGGACGTACTTATAGTCAGTGGCACAAGAGCGTGTTATCTGTTCCTCTTGAGAAAGAAAAGATTTTTGAAAAATAATTATATGATTTTGAAGTATATTATATACGCTTCGATGCATTTATATTTAATACGTCATTTAGTTCTCTCCGTTGTCGATTAAGGCTTGGAAATATCGAGGCTTTTTACAAGGTTTTTTTGTAAAAGCCTCGGAAATTCCCAGATCATGCGACTTCCAAATCGAAAATCGTAATTGATACAATCATTTCTTCAGAGTGAAGACACGCTTTTTCTTCATCTAGATTTTTATAGCAATCCATACATTTTCGAACGCGTTAACATGAAGAGATTGTGAAAATCAGTGTTTTGTAAAAATGCCATTTTATGTACTCTATATTTATTGTGTTTTATCCCAGTTATAACACAATAACTAAACACGTACCGAACTGAAATCTATAACTTTCGAAGCATTTTAGCCTAATGTATTGCAAATATTAACATATAAAAATTTTACTCATACGACGTCTATTAACATAATTATGAATTTAACACGCTCTTGTGCACCACTGACTGTACATCCTTCCCACGAAGAATCGGTGAATCGGTTCTTCAGAGCTGAACACAGTTTTTGTGCCGTCAAAATGTTCAACGTCGCTATACCTGATACTACATATTTAACGTAATGATCCCGCGATGATGGATGACTTAATCGAGTTGATAGATGTCTTATGGTAATGCGAGCGCGCGCGCGCGCGCGTGTATATCCCCGTGTGAAAAATTGTAATGCGGTCCCATCGATTTCCGATATTCGTAATATCATGCACAATACAACCGGTAGTGTATCCCTGTGCATGTGCTTAATAACCGAGTGCGGTATATCAGAATCGTGTTCTGATATAGCTGTAAGTAATATTAATAGGCGCCGGATTAATCAAGAGGAGGGGGAGGGGGGAAAGGGAGGGGGGGAGGGGAGATCGCGAGGATTAAACGGAGCGCAATTTGAAAAGGAAAACTTGCGCAGTGCATACTATTCACGTAACTAGAACACCAGGGGGAGGAGGGGGGAGGAGG